TAGGAGCTGGCTGAACCCCTCGAGACACAGCTATCAAAATTAAATATACATACTTCAGGAATGCAAACTAAGCCTACTTCTGTACTATCCTGCTGTTTAAACACAACTTACCAGTACCATAATAATGTTCAAACTGTGCTTGATTAAATGCCATCCACAGATTATACAGGGAGGGCAGGCAGGCCTTTGGAATATGTGAATTATAAAACAACTTTAAAAGGAGTAGTATTATTTTTCCTTTTGTAATCCAGATGCAAAGTTAGGATGGGATGATTCCAAATATGATAGGGGCATTGTTCATTCTTAAATTTATTCCTGGGCATAAGAGCAGCAGCCAATTTCCTTCTTACTTGCAAGGTCTCTTAACCAACGCTGAACCAAGAACCCTAGCCCCCAGAGCCCAAAATGCTAATGCTGTTATACAATAAAACATTTAGTCATGACTGAAATGTAATGGTGTCGTCATTTTAAAACAAAGAAATCAAACACATGGAGGTCCCACTAGCCACACACTTGTTCTGCAAAAATTCACTTATCTGAACACGAGGACCTGTGAGAATGATTTCCCTTAATGTTGCAATTTACAGTATTTCAAAAGAAAGCCCAATGTTCTCCTTCTGTGTATCTACACTGCCATGATCCTGCCCCCCATTACCCTCCCCAGATCTTCTTCCATCTCCCATTTACACTACTGGTCTACTGCCTGTTCTTGGCAGCAGAGGCAGCCCTGTCCCTTTTGAACCAGTCCCCCCTCCCTTTGCCTGGATCTGGCCGGTGAGTCAGCCAACCAGCAGTGACACTGCATGAGCCTGCGACAACAGCAGAATGAAGGCATGAAAGGGCCAAGCTTAGTGACATGCCAGAGTCTCCTCTGCTGGTACAGCTGCGGCCTTCTTCCTCCTCCTCCTCCCTCCTTTTCTTTCCTCCTCTGGCACCGAAGAGGTGGGCCAAGGCTGAGAGCAAAGCTGAGATGGAGGTTGAGCCACTGCCCCTGAGCAAAGAAGCAGTGGAGAGCATGTCAGAGCCCAGCTCACAGAGAGTCAGCCAGGCCAACGAGGATGAAAAGGATGAAGAAGGGCTTGGCTTCCTTCTTGGCAGCCTTGATGCTGCAGGAGCTGAGCAGATAGGTCTCATCACTGCAGCAGCCACTAGAGGAGTAGGAACCGGTGCTGCTGCTGGCTTTGGGCACCAGAGGAGGGAAGAGGAGGAGGTGGAAGGCACTGGCGGCTGCACCAACACAGAAGGCTTTGACATGTTGCTCAGCTTGGCCTCTCTTACAAGTTCACGTAGAAGTGCTTCTGACTCACTGGACACATCCAGGCATGGGGAGGAGGAAGGCAGACTGGTTCCAAAACAGCAGCAAAGGGACAGGGCTATCACTGCCAAAACAGGTCAGCAGCGCAGATCAGAGGTGGAGGAAGATCTGTGGGAGGGTTACGGGGCAGGGGTCATGCTATAGATACACAGCAGGAAAATGTGGTGCTCCTCCAGTCCTCTCATTTTATCAGACTGTTGGGAAAGCAATGAGATGTTCCACACAGAAAACACTGGAAACGGTTGGCTCGTTATGCGAACACTTGCCCAATCAACCATTTCTCAGGAACATGTTATGTTCAAAAAGCGAGACTTGCATGTGCATTTCAAGCACTTTTGCAGAACGGAAAAGGGAAAAAAAGATCACAAGACAGCTCAGTCCTATACATATGCACTTAGAAATAAGTCTTTTTTGAGCTAGCAGAACTTATTTCCTAGTAAATGGACTTAGGATTGCATCCTAAACAAATCTTTGGACATCTCTAGCATAATTATATAAACACCCATCCCTCCCCCTCACACAATCACAAAAATTGGATTTGAGTATGTCCCAGAAGTTCTTGTCTTTGCATCTTTTACTAATGGCTGCCCCAGGACATTCTTCTCACCTGTGGAATTAGCCCTGTCTGAATGGGACACGGATGTGCCAACTGGCCATGGGTTTGCCTGGTGATGGAGATAGCTGCAGGTTGGAGAAGCGAGGCTGCCGGAGTGGAAATGATGGTGGGGGTTATCAAGGGAATGGATGGGATGAGCACTAATCACAGCTGCGAATGAATATAAGACAGAAAAAATGCTTAACACACACCAACCAGCATGCATGCAGAAGTGCACCCCCACCCATTTCACAAAAAAGCACATTAAAAACCAGCACACTATCCTCAAGGTTCCGGAACAACAAAGTCCATTTTGCCATGACAGGCCATCTCTACACCCGTTTGAAGGAATTCCCCCATTTTTCCAATATTTATTTATTGCAGTTGAATCACTTCATAGCCAGGGTTCTCTGGGTGATTATATTTTAGAAAATCATATCCATGTTTTCTGTTGCATTAAACATGTGGGATTTGAATATGAATTCAAGTTATATAAACTGTTACAGAACAGAATTGAACTTCCTGAGCAAACAGGAATTCTGGCTGATTTGAGGATGGACTCTGTGCATCTGATCTTAATAAGAAACTGAGAATATTGCAAAACACTGAAGCTCACATTTTAGAATCTTGTATTGAGGTAGATTAATAGGGAGTCTGCAAGGGTAGTAAAAAGGATGAACAACTGAATGGAAAACATCCCAGGAAATAAAACTATAAGCAAACCGTCCTGGGGGAGGGGGGGCGTAGAACAGAGTTAACAGTTAATGAAAAAGGCCTGGTGCCTATGTAATTATGAACCCTGCTTAAATTCTGGCCATGGTTTGCTGCTTTAATTCTTTTTAGCTTCCTAAACATACAGTAAAACCATGGTCTATGCTTTGTGAACCAAACCTGTCACCATGACAAGAGTATAAGGAGGCACCAGCAAGAGAGGTTTGTCATCTGGCAAACAAAGAAATGGACTTTTACCAAGGTCTGTTCAACACACATGCAATCGTTTGCAAACCCATTTCAAATCATGGTTTCACAGCTTAGTTTGCAGCCAACCTTTAACCATGATTTAGGTACCATTCCTACTAATGCTCAACTCATTCATTGAGTGCTGATCCTTATGCAGCCAAAACAGACATGCACAAAAGGGAAATATCAACAGGCTTGGAAAAAACCCAAGGTTTGCACAAAAATCATCTCAGCTGCATGTGTATAGTGGAACTGGCTGGAAGTGGCAGGTGAAAAAGGTTACAGTTTGCTGTTTGCCTGAAGTGAGATAAATCACAAGCCTGGGTTTGAACATAACACTAAGCGAACCATGGCTTAGCTCAAAACAGCATTGCAACAGCAGGCCTAGAGAAAAAAAGCAAAGTGACCACAATCCTTTTCCCAGGAACATACACAGTTGCTCCTTTGTTCTAATTATGGTTTGACCTAGCATTGTGTGCAAAATGCCTCTGCCTCCATCCCTCTCCTATTTCCTCCTCCAATAGAAACAGGAGAAACCCTCCCCCCCAAAAAGATGTTAAAAGGATAGAGGAGACAAAAAAAGATATAAAAAGGACAGCGAAAACCATTTAATTGTCTAGAAATGTCACTCCTGGTACATACTGAGATGCTACTTACTTCCAGGAATGGAAGCAAGACGTATCTGTAGAGAGTTAATGGAGAAATCCAGGATTTAATGTAACTGGGAATTGGTGCTAGTTTGTCTGCCCCACCCACAAGGGAGGGATACCCTCAAAAGCTAGCAGCAAGGAAAATAATTCCTACTCGAAATCTATTCTTGTTCAGTGTGAAACTTAAAGAAAAACTTACCATTGCAAATTACAAAGCATTGTAACACATTGCATTGTCCCCATACTCTAGTAGATTGAGGGGACTGAGTTTATGACAATCCTGTAATGCAATTCACACTGAATATTCTGGGTGGTTTACAGCAACCCCACAATGTTGTTCGGAGGTATTAGACCCCTACTGCATGTTGTGTTTAAGCTGAGAGATGAGAACCCCTCTGCAGTGTTACCCAGTGTTTTTATCTGAACTTTGCAGACTGGACTGGATGGGTAGCATACAACAAACCCACAGTGTGGATCACTGTTACTCCTAAAGAGAAGGTTGAGGGACTGTGCTGAAAAACACTTTATGGCATCCCTGTAATGTCTATTAATAGTGTAAGTCAGAAGTTGGGATGAAGCTGATTTGGATTCACAGTAAAAAAAAGGCCTATTACATCTCAGGTAGCCCAGGCCAAACCGAGCACGCATTTGCATGTTGAAGACTTAAGTACCACTGACTTGCATTCAGAATGAAATACACTTCAAAATTGTTCAAAATCTATATATTAAAAAATTGCCAGACTCAGGTAATGCATGGACACCAGGAATACACTGCAATGTTTTTCTGAGGGGCTCTGCTTAATGCTTAACTGTGGCAAAGTTATGTCTTCATATTATCTAAGCAGAAGAGTTACACAGTACAAAAACAGTAAACAGAAATGCAAATAAAAACCAAATCCAACAGCAACAGACCACCATGGTAAAGGAAAACTGAAAACAGGAAAACTTAATTTTACACTGGATGCTCTACATACAAATGTTTCTACATAGTGGTGGTGAATAACACATTAACTTTTTCACAGCTGCCAAGACTTCTGAAATAGATTTTTAGGTCAAAGTGACTAATTGTGGGCACATTATTTCACAGTAGTTCATTTGTTCCAAATGTTGTTTCCTAAAGGGCTGTTGATGTCTCCAACCTTTCCTCTGTTTTTTAGTAATCCGACAACACTACCCTGAGGGACCGGACCACCATCTTTCCCCTTTGCTTTCTTCTTCCTGTCTTGTGATCTTTATTGTCTATATGCCTCTGTTCACCTTACCCAGCACATGGCTTATCTATACTTACCTTTTGCCCCACTCTTTCTAGGCAATGGTCTGCGCTTTAAAGCTTGATGTTGTAGTGCCCCCCCTTTTTTTGCTTCAAGACTTTCCCCATGAAAACCCACTTCGTAAAACTGAATGAGAACAAACGGCTATTCGGGTTTGTTGTGGATTCAGTTTGCTCTGATTCAGCTTTAAAGAGCAGGTTTTTGCAGAGAAAGCCTTGCCACGGCAATGGCAGCAGAAGTGGCGGCAGCCTGCGAGGCCTTGTCATGCTGGCGGCAGTGGCAAAAGCAGCGACAGCCTGCATGGTCTTCTCATGGCGGTGGCAGTAGCAGCAGCTTGTGAGGCCTTGTGGTGGTGGCAGGAGACGGTGGCAGAAGCAGAGGTGGCTGCCACAGCTTTTGCCACAGCCTCCCACTACCGCCACTTGCAGGCCGCCACTTCTTGCCACCACGGCGAGGCCTCACAAGCCCCACTGCTTGTGTCACCATAACGCCTCACAGGCTGCCACTACTATTGCCGTCACCTCCTGTTGCCACCGCAAGGCTTCGCAGGATGTGGCTACCTCCATCACCTCCTGTTACTGCTACGAGTCCCCATGGGCCTCTGCTGCAAGGACTCCCAGGCCACCGCCGCTTCTGATGCCAAAGCCTATTGCCACTGCAAGTCCTTGCAGGCCAATGCTGTTACAGCAGCCAGTTCTTGCCACCACTGCAAGGCCTTGCAGTCCAATGTCGCTGCCGTCATTCCCTGTCGCTGCCATGAGGCCTTGCAGGCCACCACTACTACTGTCACTTCCTCCCATTGCTGCCACAAGTCCTTGCAGGCCACCACTACTGCTGTCACTCTCTGTCACTGCTGCGAGGACTTGCAGGGCGCTACTGTTTGTGCTGCCACCGTGAGGGCTTGCACTCTGCCACCACTACTGCTGCCATGTTCTATTGCCACCACGAGGCCTCACACGCCACTGCTACTGCCGTCATTCCCTGTCACCACAGTGAGGCATTGCAGGCTGCCACTGTTACTGTCACTGCCGTGTGGCCTTGCAAGCCACTGCCATTACTGCTGCCACTTTTTTTGCCACTGCAAGGCCTCGCAGGCCACCACCACTACTGCCGCTACCTCCCATCGCTGCCATGAGTCCTCACAGGCCACTCCTGCTACTGCCGTCACTATCACCACTGCAAGGCCTTGCAGGCTGCCACCGCTACTGCCGCCAGCCCCCGCCACTGCTGTGTGGCCTCGCAAGTTGCCACTGATTGTTCCACCACCACAAACACATACTGTGGTCATGGCAAGCTGCTTCTGCTTCTGCCACTGCTGCTTCTGCCTCCTAGAAGGTCTGCTTGCAGCCTGACAGTCCCAGATTATTTGTATGCACTATGACTCATCACCATACTTTGGATTGTCCTGAAGGCCACCATTTGGTAGGCAAGCCCCAAACCTAAAGTCCTGTTGGGATGCATTCTGGCTTGCCTGCTGATGAAACTGAGTGTGTGATGATTGATAATATTGTCATTTATCCGTTTTAGACCCCTAAGTAGTAGCAGTTGCCATGACATTGTCCTGTTCTGCTCTGTATAGTTCCATCCTTATTTCAGACATTGTGGTAGATTGCAATGTTTAGCTGGTGATATTGTGAGGTTTAGCTGCTGATAACATTGAAATGTTTAGCTGGTAAGTTACTGCGATATTGAAAACCAGTATCGCCTAGTCCTTACACACATTGTGATTCGCGATATATTGCCAGCTCAAATATTATGAAATAATTATCACGACGTGAACTTCAAACCGGTTTTGGACGATATATCGCCCAGCCCTAATAAGTAGTGGTCATTTGACAACATTAGTTGGCCAACATAAAGCAAATCTGACCTTAAAGACAGTGCAGAACTATAAGGACTACAAATACCTTAAATATAGTGGGGAAATGCTGTCACTTTCTGCTTAGTTTGTGCTTCAAAGTATTATGAAAAATACAACCCAGCCAGAAGTACCTATCTTTCTGAAATAAATTTTAAATAGATTGTGGGCTTAACATTAAATTTACAAAAATTAAAAAGCGGCAAATATAAAACGTGTACTATTTTGCCAAAAGGCTATTTAGCACTCCTATCAGGTTGGCATCCAAATACTACTTTGGCATGGAAATACTGCAAGATTCAGTTCTGCCAGTTCTCTATTTATAATCTTGATATTCTTTCCATAATTGTTATAATAATGCTAATGTTTCTTCTTCCAAACTTTCCTAGCATTTATTTCAAGTAGAAACAAGATTTTGTGCACATTCATCACCCTACTCCCAGCAATACGGGATGGAATGTGAAATGTTTGACTCAAGGAAGCTTGGTGAGAAATAACTAAAGTTAGACTTACGCTGAGGTGGTTGAGAATCAAATGGCATCATCATTTTTGGTCTCATTCCCCTTCTTCCTGCAAGTGTGGACATGCTATCCTCTGACTCATGCCCTAGAAAAAGAATGTATGCATCTATAAACATTTATGTTCATCATCTTTATATCAGATCATTAAGCAGGAAAACGAAAACAAGTGTTTCATACACACTCATTCTGATTACCAAGAGACTCTATTCTTAAGAACACTTTATAGTCTTCCTTTCTAGAAACGTCATTCAAAGAGGATAGGGGCAGGGTTTGGTGCTGTAAAACCAAAATAAATTCTCACAATAGATTTTTAAGTGATGCAAATAATGCTATTAGCAGAAATGCTATGCTGTATATTATGGGTTCCATTTTCTCACTGATTTACATGCAAATTGTAATAAATATAAACCGAAGTGCAGCTACTACAACTTAGTCAATTGGCAAGTACTTAAACAATTACGAATCTCGACAAAACCCATCCTTTGCAATCTACAGGCCACAGTTGTCTAAGGATAATGAATAAACTTAGCATGATACTAAGCCCACCTCTGTATGAGTTCCGTCTTTGGTGGATATTGCTGTCCATGGAGTTGTCAACTGGCGTAATGTCTTGGGAATTCCGAGGGATTGGGGTGTCTGTCATGATTGGATTAGGATCTGGAGATTTATCAATGGGTTTCAGCTCCAGTCTTTCATGGTGAATCCAAAGGTCAGGGGGTTTGACATCCTTAGAATTTCCTTTGTATTTATGTGACCCATTCACAGATTTGCATGCAGCTCGCTTCCTTTGAAAGCCGTAAGAAAAATATTAGTGTATTCACAGGCTGGCATAAAACTACTGTTTTTTCTTCAGGTAGTTAACTGACACATGCTTCAGCTTTCTGTGCAAGCAATTTTATTCTAGACACATCATGTATGTTATATTCTGATTCTATACTTGTATCCAAAAGGTGGAGGGTGGGGGCATTTATGATCCTTTCTTCTCCTACACCCAGCCAACAACAATGGGAGGTTTCCTCATTTATTTTACCAGACTACTAAAATCATGTCTATTTAATATTAATGTTATTAAACCCAAGCAAAATCAATGACCGCTAATTAAATCAATGCCCCTAAAAGATAGAACAAGTCGTTGCCAAAGCATCTTACTTTTTCTGGTGAGAAGTGGTGCGGCGTGTGCAGAAGACCGCAACAATTACCACCACAACAATGGTGATCACTCCCACAGACACTATTATTACCAAAAGCATATTGTATTCCAAAGGCGAAGGGCTTCCATGAGGGCTGTTACTGCCTAAAGAGGAAAACAAACATTATTTAATTATACATGGCAATGTCTTGGGAGTTTTGAATCTAAGGCAAGGATGAGGAATCTGTGGCCCTACAGATATTGTTTGAAGTCCCAGTGGCCTCATGGGGGAGGGGGCAGAGGGGTGGTTGTTCCGGGCGCAGTTTTTGGGAGGGCACATTTTGCTCCTCACACCACCCTGGAAGCCCCAGGCCATATTGCAAGGCTGACTGGGATCAGACGGTTAGATCCCAGCCTCACAGAGCCATGCAGGGCTGCCAGGGCAGGCAGGCAAGCAAAGGAGCACCTACTCCTCTGCCAGCCTCTGCTGCAGCACATGAGAAGAAATAATAATAATAATAATAATAATAATAATAATAATAATAATAATAATAATTTATTTATACCCCGCCCATCTGGCTGAGTTTCCCCAGCCACTCTGGGCGGCTTCCAATCAAGTGTTAAAAACAATACAGCACTCTCTTTCTTCAGTTGCTTCCCTGTGTAAATGTGGGCGAGGAAAAGCAATCTGCTTCCATCCTGACCACACTGGGGTGGGGAGAGGAAAGAAGCAGCACATTTAACAACAATGGAGTAAGGATGGAGGAAAGACAGAGTCACTGCACTTTCCCCCCACTCCTTCACCACCAGCCAGCAGCATCCAGCAACATTGCCATTGCACACCCCACTGGGCCCTTGCAACACTGGAAGCCACACTTCCAAGCGAGGCAGTGATGCTCTTGGGTTACACGGGGGCTGCCAGGGCGGTGTAAGTGACCCTGAAGCAGTGGCATGGGTGACAAGGGCTGGGATGGTGGGACAGGCTCCCTCTGTCCCACCCCCCTGCGTGTGCACGTATGAGCCCCGGGTGGCAGTAGCACATGCTAGGCCCTTGTAAAGTCCCATGGCTAGTGTAAACGATGATGGAAGTTTGGAATCCAACATTTGGAGGGCCACATGTTAGCCACCTTGCATCTAAGAGAACAGTCCCTGCATAAAGAGATTGTCTTGCTTGTGATAAAAGATTGGACATTATAACTTGTACTGAACAAAAAAACATGCTGTACTGTAGAGGTCACTTGCACTGCCTGGAATACTAGAGGGATTGTTTTCAATGTAACCCTCTCATACATGGTTGTAAAGATGCTTTAACTTTTCTCTGAACATGTTATGATTTCCTTTCAACACCTTAGTCAGCAGAATTCTACTTACCACTCATAGGTGTTTTATAGTCTGGCCCAACATCCACTGGCCGATTTCCTTTTCCTGCAGACCCCAATGCTAGAAAACAAAATTGAAGCTGTGTCAAGCTACTTGTAGTTTATGCCTTATCTGTCTTTTTAAAACATAACTTGTTTTTCTATGGACAAGAACATATCCTAGACAGAAACACACATAGAAACAGTCCAGGAAGATTGCAGGACTTTTCTAGAAGTGTCTATCCAACTATCTCAAGAACAGCTAGAACAACATTCATGCAAAAGGTATACACACAAAACTATAGAATAATCTGGTGCCTTCTGTGAAGAAAGAAACAAGCCACAGTATTTTAGTAATGTCAGAACCCCCTAGTACTTAACTGTTACATATGACCTGAATGGCTGAAGTTCACAGAACTTTCCTATCAATAGTTACCCCATAGAATGCTATTAGAGATGAAAGGTGGGTGTTCTTGGGTAATGCTTACTGGGGGGCAGGGAAACTTCAGGAAATACCTGATTGTAACTCAGTAGTAAGGGTATTGCATTTTGTTCTTCACAGGGTTTTGAAGACAGATAGATGCAGTGAGACTCATTACTTCTCTTCAAGAAGAACAAAGCATGGCAATATCTAGCCTCTCCTCATGGATCACGACATTT